CAGGGAAATCCGAACCTCAGGAACTGTTTCACCTCAGCTCTGCTGCCCTGGAGTAATCTGGGGATAGTTATCTTGCAGTAAAATGAACACAGCTTTAACTTTTATCTTTTAAACATGTGTACTAGTGTATATATGTACCCTTACTCTTTTAATGCCTGATAAACAATCTTCCTTCCTCGTACTCTCCCTCATTTTATGCCTACCGACCTCCAACGTGATCTTTTCTCCCTCCGTCTGGCTTTTTACCAACACATGGACAGATTTCAGGCCAGTACCAGGTTAAAATGGGTCACTGCTATAAACAAATTGCCGCAATGCTAAAATTGGACACAGTGAGCCATATTTATTAGCCTTGTTGGATGTGACTCATTTGGTCTATGTCAGGAGACTACAGTGACATGACTTAGCAATGTAATATTTCACTGCAGCACGATATGACAGCAGCAAAAAGTATGAAACTGTAACATAAAACAATAAAATCTACTATTGGAGCAATACTTGTACATGCCAACAGAGCTGTCTGAGCCCAGAGTCCTGTCTTAAGGCACAGATTGAATGACTGGCCCCAAAAGCGCGTGTGTGTCCTTGTATATGTGTGTGTGGGGAGGGGGCTAATCCGCCTTGTGTTGCAGTTGAGAGAGAAATTTCAAGGTCTTTGAGCAGCAGTGGAGCTAGGAGCCTAAGGTCACACACACACACACACACACACACAGAATCGGGGTCCCTCTTCTTTTCGTCCTAGGCTTCTGTGCTCCTCTCCCTCCTCCTCCTCCTCCTCCCTTTTTTTCCATTTCCTTTGTCTTTTCTCTCCCACTTTTTCCTCCCTCCCTCCTCCCAATGTTTCCCATTTCTCGATCATCTCGTTGAACTCCCACCAAGATCACCTCCCTTTTCCTAAAACTCCTGCTCTTTCCCGCTGCCTTCATCCTCTTCCTCCTAATCTCCTCCGACCACCTGTCCTCCCGAAAGTTCTCCAGAGCGGAGCTGTTTCTTTGCAACTTATTCCATCTAATCTGTTTTGATCATTACGTCTCTGTCACACTCGACCCCCACTACCAAAAGGTAGTTGAATACTGGACAGGCTCCTTGTGATTGCTTTGGACACAACAGGGCTGAACTTTGACCTTCACCCCTCCTCCTCCCCTCCATCCTCCGTCCCTGCCCTCTTATAAGACTTCATTTTTCTCCTTTCCCTCCATACTTTCAATGCCTTGTAGTTGACTCACTCTCAACTTTATCTCAATTGCATGGAGAATGTATGTTGTCAGTGGGAGTTGTTTGAACTGTGTGCTCGCTGCTGTCCTCAAGTCCTATTTTTCCCTACGAGCCAGAGTGATGAAATATCTTGTTTTGTCTGACCAACCAGTCCCAGACCCAAAGGTATTCAATTTATAGTGACATACTTCGCAAATGTACAAAAGTTTTTTTCTTTATCTGGGAGAGAAAGGAGTTATTTATGAAGGAAAAATATCAAACAAGAAATTAATACCTTTCATTCACCACTTTCACTCTCTCATGAGCCACAGATACAGACATTACAATACTAATGTTTGGTTATTGACAGACCCAGCATTTTCCCTCCTGACTGAGGGCTTTTGAGTAAATAGTTAACAGATACCATTAACACATTGTGGTTAACACTGTCGTCATTTCAAGCTATGTCTAGCTTTGCAACATCAAGATTCAAACTGATCCTAAACATTTATCCTTCTCCATTTTCTCTCATTCCAGGAGAACTGTGTCAGCCTCTTCTTCCCCATCCATCATCTTCCATTCTGTCTCACAAAGCACCTTAACATAAGCTACTCGGTGACCTTCCTCCTCTTTCTTGCCACTTCGCTGTATGGGTTACTTCACTAAAGCTTAAGCAAACTATCTGCTCCATCTCCCTCCTGCTCTGTTTCCATCCATCTATAGATTCTCCTGCAAACAGATGTTAACCTGCTTTGGATCAGATGCTAAAGAATGTAAAGATACCCCCCGATCTATCTCTGAAACACACACACACACACACACACACACACACACACACACACTAGAATTTAAACAACCTCAGATTCATATTATGCATAAAAGTCAAAGAGATGGAAACACACACATTTGCACATATAGAAAACCGACAAGTTCCAGATCATCCCGACTCCCACAGATCTCCAGTTCCCATGCCCACCCAGTGAGTGAATGTGATTGGTTGTGTGTCTGTGTGTGTGTGTGTGTGTGTGTGTGTGTGTGTGTGTGTGTGTGTGTGTGTGTGTGTGTGTGTGTGTGTGTGTGTGTGTGTAACTTTACTCCCACCATTCTGCCACATGTCAGCAGTTGCTCAGTCATCTTTGACACACACACACACACACACACACACACACACACACACACACAGGATTACAGCCCGGCTCTGTAGAAAAGTACTCGTCTCTGCATGCATATAGCCTAGTCACCACAGGCCCCCCAATACCCTTATATAACACATGCAGTATATAATGTTTAATGGAAAGTTTTATTCCACTAATCCAGGAGAGTATTAAATAAAATACTTGTAGCAAATAATGCATCAGGCAGTTTATTCTGATTATTTAACCAAATTATAACTTTAAAAATCACCATGAAAATCAACCTGAGTTCTGAATTTGACCTGATAAAGACCCCTTGAACTGAGAACATGGCCAATAATCACTAGGTTTCCTTGTTCTGACAAGCAAGAGAAAGAAACAGGCCTGTGTGACAGAGGGAGCGAGCTCAACAGAGGCTAGACGTTTGTTTTCTGATAAACAAACTGGCGTTTCCTAGACGCGAGGCATCAGGCGAAGCTGATTTTAGCTCCTGGGATTCAGGAAGACTCGAGGAGCATCTTGTGATGGAGATGACAGGAAAAACAACCGCGCACTCCCACATGAAATAATCACACGCTGAGAAACATAAACACATGCGGATTTGCAGGGAAAACATTTAATTACGCGGTCTCACCTTGTTTGACTTTTCTGGTTCAGATTCATTCAATTATCAGAGAGTGAAGCAGCATGTTGAAAAGATGGAACAAAAACAAGCCTAGGTAATCCATGCCTTTCAATTCATAATGGAAAAAAAAACCAACACTTTTTCTGCTTGATTTCTGACATGTCACAATTTACTCTTGGTTTGTTGCTAATTATGTCATTCCCTCTCCCTAATATTGCAGAAATCCACAGTATAACAGATAAAAAGTACCATATTTTAATCTTTTATGTTTGTTTCTCTGGCACAGTGGCAAGTGTTTCATTAGGGCAAGTAGTTCCACGTAAATACATGTCACTGTTTTCTGCCTCCGCTCAAACCTCAACTCAGTCAGTGCCCTGAACATCATATGACCAGCTCTGACTGTTATTCTACATCTCTAACTACCGAACGCACCTCTGTCTCTGTGCCTACAACAAGACGAGCTGCAAAGCATTTTTTTTTTCCACTTTCTGTCGGCCTCACATCTCCCGCCAACACACATATACACACATCTCTTCCAACTCCTCTACATGCCTCCTCTTCACACTTTCTGTATGTCTCTCTCCTTCTCGTTCTGACACACACACACACACACACACACACACACACACACTCACTGCAGAAGTTGCATCAGTGAACCATAATGTAGCAAGAGCATCCTGTGGTGAACTGTGTGCCATCCTGTCTCATGTTTCAAACTGTGTACGAGTCGCAGCCTTTTTTTTTTTGTTGACCTTTGTGTATCTGCAGACTGGGAATGGAAGCTGCCCAGTGCAACGTGTCCTGTTATAGCCAAGGAGAAACTATACTGGAGCAGCTAAAAGTAATCTTTTCTGCTCAAGGGCACCATAACCGGGACAAGTAAGAAAGAGATGCAACAGTGTTTCTCATTCACTTTCAATACCCTGAATTTTCCAGACAGTCTGGGGATTTCGACGAGGAAGTCTCTCGCCAATGAGCATACTTTTCTAACCTTTAAAATAATGTCCTAAAAATTCATCCTACATTCTACAGATATCAAGCAGGCAGGTTTATGTGGTTTGATTACTGGCAGATCACAGTATTCAGGTAATAAATCTCACTTGTATATAAGTCTTGATCGCATCCTCTTCCTCATTCAAAACTCATTTGTGCAACTTGTGGTAGCACCACAGCATCCGTTCACAGACATTAAAAAGTAAACCGTTAATACCAGAGTCTGTCGGGATGCAGCAGTGAAAAAACTAATCCATGACTCATAGTAAAACAAGTGGCTCAGCTACTGTGGAAGGCAGGAGTTGCAACATACCTCCTGAGTTTGTCAGATTTTTCTGTCAGTCATGCAAAATCAGAGTAACCAAGGAGAACATTTTGACAAGACCTAATTTTTACGGATGCAAATTTGGCCCAAGGAGCAGCTACGAGTACAGGTCAACATTATAAACATTTTATAACCAACCAAATATTTTTAAAGCAGTACCAGACAACTCATCTTGCAATAAACCAGTCCAAGGAGCTTTTTTCCCCCACCATCATTCATGGGGAAAAGCAACAGTCAAAACACACAACCTAAATGGACCTAAAGGAAATGTGCAAAACACTCGAAAAAACTAATTTCTGAGTATGAACTACCTTCCATGTTGCTGCTTTAAAGAACAAACACCTTGTTGATAGGAAACATCTGAATAAAATGTTTCCCCACGGTTTCACTTGCTGCCTGCCGGGCCCTCAAGACTAGTGATACTTTATCTAAAACTGAGTTCAGCCAGGATGTAATCTACACCCGTATCTCAATCTCAATCAGATTCTTATCTCATTTAGTCACTGTTTATACAGGAAAGCATCTGGGTGAATAGGAAGTTCTCGCATACCAGTAATCTCAAGATAATAACAGTAAAAGAGAGGTTAAATTCAGCACCTGGATTGACTTCAGACACATCAGGGGTGAACACAGCCACAAAATGACATTAAATTAAATACTTGGCCAGATAAAAAGGAAGCGAGAGAGCACAGACGCTGAAGAGGTGACAGTTTTATGAGTCTGGACTCACCTGGAGCTCACACCACGCCACTTCCACAGTAGTCTCTGTATCCAGTCCCTTGTACACAGTCTTAAAGGACCCTCTTCCAATCTCAATGTCAAATTTGAGGAAGCGTCCATCTGGCGATGTCCCTACAGCTTTTGTCTCCACCTCCTCTATATCCTCTTGTACTCGTTTTTCAGCCTCCCTCTGCTCTGCCCGCGCTTTGGCTAGCCCCCTCTCCTCCTCCGTCTCCCTCTCTTTCTCCTCAGTTGGACTACTAACGCTACCCTCGTCCACACGTTCTATCGCTTTTCCATCTTTTGCCACCTGTTCTATGTTCTCTGACCCTCTGGGACGCAATATAACTTCAGGCTGTTGGCCTGCTGTTTTGTCGGAAACATCCAATACTGTCGGACTGGGCTCTTTTACTTCCCCATCTGCACTATGTTGAACGCTGCTACTGGTAGGAACAGCAATCGTAATACTGCCCACATCTAAATTGTCCTCAGGAGTTTGTGCACGCCCCTCAGCGACTGCCCCACCAGGCCCAAGACCAGGCTGAAGGGTCGAGCTCTGCACATAGGGACCTCTTGGGACCTCCCCACCTTCAGCATCCCGTACCCCAGGTCCAGGACCACAGGGCTGTGGAGAAAAGAAGGTGGGCGTCCCTTCACAGTCTGGAGGGGAGGTGAGTATCACGGCTGCTTTGCTGGGCAGGTCCAAAGCTGTGGCATTGGAGTCACAAATGACACTCCGGCGGAAGAAACGGTGCTCGGCTGTTTTGGAGTCTCTATCCATCGTGTGGCGCCGACGTCGGACCTCAGGGTGTCCGCTGAGCTTCTCCACAACGTGCGAGTCTGAACCGGAAGAGCCGTTCACATTTTTGTGGGGGGTCTGGGGTGATGGACAGAGGGAGGTAGAGGGAGGAGGGGGGGCCGGGGCAATGAATTTCACTGCTTTGCTGCTGCTATTGCTTTCAGACATTCCTCCCCGAGGCTCAGACCACAAAAGAGAAATTCTTTAAGTATAAATAAGGACCTATTTCATGTGTAATCAGACCAACCTATGTTTAAAGTAATGATTTCGACTAGCAAGCTTCTTTTTCAAATAAAAAGCTCTCCAATCTCCAATTAAACTCGTGGATAAACAAAGGGGATGGGTTACAGAAAATAAATCAGTCAAATCAATTGAGTGCAGCAATTTTCATTGTGACTTTTTTAGCAAGGGTTTATTAACTCTACTTCCTCTTTGCAACTGTTTCAACAACACAACCTACAGTTCCTACAAGGCCCTTCTGTACAGGGCTCAGGGAAGCCCCAAGAGAGAGGAAGGGGCTTTCGCTTAAAAATTTGGGAGGGAAGGGACGAATGGCAGTCAAAGGAGGGGGGGTGCAAGCAGTGCAATGAGGTGGCAACCGTCAAATTAACACCAGAATCCATCCTGATGCCAACATCCAGAGAGGGACGACCACGACATGGAAGGACTGGTGATCTAACAGACCAGTATGGCCTCCCAAAGGCGGATAAGACAAAATGTAATGGGAATCCAATCCTTTACAGCTTGCCTTGCAGGTTTGTGTAAGAACAGGCTGCCACTGCTTGTTGAAGATAGGATTCCCTGGAGAGGTTGCTGGCCCGTCTGGTAAGGCCAGACAGAAGGCTAGGTAGGCCTAGCCTGGCCTAGCCTGGCCAACCTTGATCTGCTCCGTCCCTTGTCACTGTAAATCAAAAGAGAGAACAAAGAGAGCGGTATGAATAAAATATATTTTCTTTACATATCTGACAAAACCCAGCATCTGCTTTCTCATGACTTCTTGACTGACCCACCCAAACGATACTGAGTGGCTCGTAGAACATTCAAGCTGCCACAGATACCATAACATTTTAACACCATTTGGCCAGTGATGAGTGGTATGAGTGACAGACGCAGGGTGGGAAATGAACACCAGATAAATGCTGCCACAATTGTGGTTGCAGTTGACAAATCTGTCAGCTCCTCCAACCACTAAGCAGAGATCAACCGCTCATTTGGATGTTCTTATCCTAAACAATTAGGTTGGTGCTGATACAGAAAATAGGTCAGCACAAGAAAAAAACCTAGCTTTTCATGCACCAATAAGTCAATATTTGCAGTACTTAAAGCAGTGTCTTCATTAAATAATCATTCCCGATTTGGCTGATAGAGGATTCAGGATTCCTGCACCCTTGGTTTGGGATTCATCAGTGAACATTATTAGACTTGAGTTGATCTTTAATTTCGTCAACAATAAAAAGACCTGCATCCCACCCTCAATCTTTCCCTCCCAATTGCCCCATGTAGTTAATGCAGTGGAGTGTGCGCCTAATTGCTCCACGTTCCAAATTTAGCCCCAAAGTCACCACAGCCTGGCTGACCTCAAGGTTGGGCTACTCTGTGACAATTCAGCAGCTTAGCATGAGTGGGGAGGGGGGGCGATGACCAGAGTTGCAAAAACGAAATACATATCAGAAGGAGGCATGTACAAGTATATTATTCTGCATATTGCATTGCAGAAATCTTGTTAAGAATTTAACATCCTACACATAACTTGTACTCTAGTATTATCATAGTGAAAGTGGCTCAGAGGAAGTGCTATGGTGTGCGACGTTAGAAATCATTCACAGTACATTAATTCATGTTTTAAAACAACACATACGTTTTTACAAGTCTTATCGACAAAGAAACATGAAGGATATTTGTCAATGTTTTGTTGAGTCGTCTATAGAGTTCCTTCAATTAAATCTCTCCCCTGTGAATGAGGAATAAACAGCAAAAACTGTTTATTATAACATATAAACTGCTATTGTTCAGAAAATACTTTTAAGGGTTAAATTTGTCCAGACAGTTTCCTAGTACTGACCATACAGAAGTGAGATTGATCTGGCCCCACAGGCTACTGTATATTGTCCCAATTAAGTGAAGTGAGTGCAGGATTAGTGCTGAGGAGGTCACAGTAGGTATGTGCCTTTAGGCCATCAGGCAGGTCGAAAGCCTGTTTCTTGCCTTTTCTGACATACTTCTTGTCCTGTTCAGGCTGTATGCACTGTTTAAGTGTTGTGTGCAATGATGGGTTATGAACAGGTTTAACATTTTGAATTTACTTTTGCATTCAATGGCACCTGGCTGCCACAGAGGTTAAGAGAAGTCATTTACTCAACCAGATGTCTCAGGCTTCAGGTGTAGACTGTAGTGAACAGCCCATACACGATCAATTAGGTAATAACATTAAGCAATACGTTGACGCCAACGAGGGAGACCAGACTGATGACTTAAGTATGAGACCGCTGTTGTCAGTGAAGTGTATTGCTGGGTGTGCGTCATCTAAATCACAAAGCTATCTCTCCTGTCTAACAATCCCAGTGGACAGCCGGATCCCTCTCCGTCTGTGGCCTGAGACATGACCAGAAAGGTGTATATGACACAACACGCTGCTTATAATGGGTGGGGTGGCACTAAATTCAAACTAGGGTGAATTTAATTCAAGATTACTGTGAAAAACATCTGCCTTTTTTTATATGAGAAGATGTTTTTACAGGGATTTGACAACAGCTAGGGAATGTTGTTAGGGCAGCCAGAAAACTGAAGTAGTCAATTAATTTTTAAATTAAAAATACGTAGTAACAGCAATAACAGAAAGGGTTTTAAGGTAGTGTGCAACATTTATATTTAAATTAACTTAAATATTAACAGACATGATTAGCACTGTCCCTTTCTGGCTGAAATTAGTCTGACAGAGGCTCAAACGTACTGCAACAAAAAATATGTAAGTTTTTATTTGAAGCACACAGTATCAGCAAAATAACCCGTTTTACTGGTATTGTATATTGACTGGTGTCAGGTCCTCTGTTAACAGCCTCCCTGTCAAATAAAATGCGCATATAAACATTCAAGCATGGCCAAAATCTCATGGCCAGACTTTTTTTTCTTTTTTTTTATAAATAGGATCAAAATTATTATTAAAATATTAAAAACGATTTGGTGTCAGTAAAAATCCACACATCACCAGTCCATGTCAAACAATTAACGTTAAATGAATTGAATTCGTTCAGTTCGGCTCATTAAAACCTAATGAACAAAAGATGTTCATCCAGTTAAAATGAGAACAGGAGCAATTAAAACTCCCAGGGAAAGGTTGAGCGGTTGTCTCTGCTGCTTACTGATATAGGCGAAATGCATGTTGTGTGAACATGTGAATCTTGCATGAGTGCAACTGGTCTGGAGTGGGTGCCTGAGTGTCCTGAACAGTCAGCTCTGTGAGTAAGAAATGCAGTGAGGGGTTCACTGCTGCCTGTTGAGGAACTCAACAAAAAAAGAAAAAAAGAAAAGGCAATGCAGCTAACTTTAACCACAGGCAAAAACAAGACACAAGCAACAACCAGTCACGATTTTGGATAAAGCATTATAATAAAGCCAAAAAAATAAAGAAAAAAGAATGCACTGTTACCTATTACATCGGTGTGGGTTGTAGGGGTACAGTAGGAATCTGAAGGTAAAAACTTGATTTAACAGCCTTTTAACTCCTCTGCAGTGGGGGTCCGCTCCGACACAGCGCAAAATGTTAGTACAACGTCAGTGCGTCACATTAAAGCCACAGTTGGTTGCCGAGACACCCCCCTCCTCAAAAAAAAAAAATAAAAAATAAGACGTTATTTACAAAAACATAACTTAGCAACAACCTTAACCTTTAAAAAATAATAATAATAAGGTCCGAGCAACGACGCGGTAAGCGGTATGTGCAGCGAGCCACAGCCGACAGACTGACACCTCCCACAGGGCAGAGAAGCCAAGTTCGCTCGCTGGTGTCGCGGCGGCTCTGGTACTTCTTCTCTCGTCTGTCTCTGTGTTGTCTGTGTCCGGGTCTGCAACCGTGAAACCGAGAAAAAAAAACGCAACAGCCTCCACACTCTAAAGATGCAATATCCACATCCGCAGCGACATCCAGCCCGCTGCCGTGACCGCCGTTTGTGCTCCCTCCTCGGCTTGTGTGGTGCAATAAATCCGCTGTGGTCCACAGTTATTCTCCGTTTTCAAGCCATCGGACGGCGGCTCCGTCTGCTCTCTGCTCTTCTCTGGCGATGACTCGACAAGGCGACGGCAGGGCTTTCACACCGACGTGCCGCGTCAAGAACGGCAGCGTAAACCCGGACGATACAGGAAGAGAGGCGCGCTTTCAAAATAAAACACCCCCAATTTAAAAGAGCTATGGTTGAGTATGTAATCCGATTTTTAGGCTATTTGGGTGTTTGTGCTCCATCCAGCTGTGACTGTCTCCAATCCGGAATGACAGGAAGCATCTCTCATCTTTTTTCTGCTCTTCTGCTTGTATGTTTGGATATTTCACACATACATATATATAATATTGTATTTATTTAGTATATTTTTTCTTTCATTTGTTTGCGCTAATTAGGGGATTTCATCATTTGTTTTCATGTTTAGAGAGATAATCAATGCCATGGCTATTGGTCTAGCAAGTTATTTTCTGCAATAATTAATTGTATTAGCCTAGGTTTTTAAAGTAATTAATTAAATATGTATATGTAAATTATACTTTTGAAATATATACATGATTTACCTAAACATTTTAAGCTAAAAAACGTTTTTAAACACCTTATGAACATATTTAAAATACAATAAGTTATTAGTAACCTATTTATTTATGTATAAAAATCATCCATACTGTCTCACTTACAGCACTTCAACAGTTACCGCTATTATATCCAGCTAAACTCAGCGTACATTCTTCTTAATCAATTAACCAATATGCTGTGTGCAAGTGGAAGCCAAAACAGAGTGAACTTGTGCTCCTGCATAAATAAAAACCAAAATGCTGCAACAGTCAGTAATAAGAATTTTATGTTGACAGGTCAAACCGGAAGCACTATTGTTTATTCTGCCAGTCTTGACTCTAGCAACCAGAGGCAAACTCCAGTATCCCTAGTTAACAGCTGCAGTGAAATCCAGTGCAAGTCGTTCATCATGCTTTTATTTTATGTCTCTTGGTCATGTTTGACGTAGCCATAGTCTGCCTTCCTAATTGATGCTTCTGTTTGTGTGTGTGTGTGTGTGTGTGTGTGTGTGTGTGTGTGTGTGTGTGTGTGTGTGTGTGTGTGTGTAGTGTGCTAAAAATAAAAATAAAAAAGTCCTAAAATGTCGTTTGGAGTTTTTTATTTCTCTGATTAACTACAATTTTAGTACAGTTTATTCAAAAAGGAGGGAATAACCAGAAATGTATAGATAGATCATAATGGGCATATTTATTATTACTTTTTGGTTTGGCTATAAAAGGTTAAATGATGATGACTTTATTGTAAGATCAAGTGTGTTTTTCTTGCATCACAGCTGTCATCACAGAGCAAGAACAAGAAACAAAGATACACTGGCCTATATTAAACATACAAACACAGAAGACAGTCAAGGCCCTTCCACGTGCATTTGATCTCAGTTTAAGCCCCGTATTTAATTTTAGGATTGACTGGTGCACAAAAGAGTGCTTCAGTCTAACCTTGTTAAATCTTGAAAACCTGTATCTTCGGTTGGACGGTAACATTTGTATTCACTTTTTAGGACATACTTCAGCCCAGAGATGATGTTGTTAGTCAACATTAATCTATCATTATGGTAGGCTGATTCATAGAGTTTCTCAAGGGGTTAATTTTAATTTAGTGGAACAGTTTTGACTTTAAAGTACTGGACAAACATTTGTTCAGTAAGTAAAAAGTTTCCCAATCAAAGACCGCACGGCAGAATGTAACCATAGTTAAGAATCTGACATTTTATCCATCAATCAGCTCTACACACCCTGATACTGAGCTGCTTCGCCTCAGGGAAGAATAATCAAAACAGCATAATGGTTTTAACCTGCTCATCAGTCGTGAAACAGGAGGAAGAGTTCCTGTACTATCCAGAATATTTCCCAAACCCTGATGATCACACGCACACTATTGTTCATTTTTTTCTCTGCTGGGTCTTCCTGTTTGTGTTTGACAGCAGGGGTCCAGACTATATACCGCCAAGGCTCTTGAAATGAACACACACCAAAGAGGGATTCCCCTGATTACAGCATTCCTATGATATTTGCTCACTGACGTAACTTTGAATAAATAAAACCATCTCTGTAAAGAGCGACCAGCCTGAGATCCAACTGCCACCTAATCATCAAATGACCTATCAGGCATTCAACTCTTTCACTGTTTCATTTTAAAAAGTTAAACGTTGAACTGTAACTGTATTGACACAGAACCAGAGCTTTTGTTCTCAAAATGTAGGCTTGTAATCCTCCTTTTTGTTCAGAATAATGACATATTTCCTCTGAAATTATGAGGACTTTTACATAAGCACACAAAAGTTACACAATAACCTTTTTTGTTTGACCAAACTTTGTATCTTTAATGATTAAGAAACATACCTCACACTTGTTGATTCCTCCATATACTATTGTGAAAATGCCATAAAAATCACCACTGCCTATCGGCTGCACACCTTACTGACTAATGTATATAGTCATTGCCGTATCTTATCAAATATAGCCCTTATCTAAGCTTCCACTGTTAATAGCCAGATAATTTGCTCAGCATTGCTGCTACGCAATCGGCAAACACTCCTGAAATGATAAAGAGCTGCTATGGATGTTTTAATACCTGCGACTCTCAGATACTCCAGCGTTTGTTAAGAAGCAGGCAAACACACTAACGGGGTCATGGACTTGTTGTTTTGGATCTTCACATGACCACCAGGAGATTAATGTTAGCCTGTGTGTTTCAGAGCAAATCATTCAATTTGGGTCCTGGTGCCTGACCTGAAAAGTAGTACGGTGTGTGTTTGTCTGTGTGTATGTGTGTGTATGTGGGTGGGGGTGCTCCTTTGCTTGTGTGCACACATGCTACACATGTTTATCCTGCACTTTGCCTAAGGCGGTGAAACTGTATGCGAGGTTTCCAGAACAACATGACAGCAAGTCCGAAGTGAAAACACACAATGAAAACATTGAACGCAAGAAACGTACATATAGTATATTTACAACCAACAACAGCTATTGTACGGTTTTACCTTTAATCTGTGTGTGAGATTCTGATCCATAAATACAACCAACCTCTGGCTTATGGATTGGACAACATTTTTTCTTGGACATTTCTTCAGTACACACACACACACACACACACACACACTAGACACGCCTCTACCTCTTCCGTTAGTAAACTGTACAACTGCCCCTAACATGAAATTATGCTGTCAGAATGAATGCTTTATTCTCTACTCTCTCTCTCACTTTGTCCTGACCTGTACCAGAACCTGAGTTGACCCAAAGGCATAGACAGACCCATATTGGGCCCAAAGTTCAATGTACACAGGACTGATAGTGAAACACACAGCAGCCACACCCGAGAGCGACAGCTGTCTATGAAGCTGCAGAACATGAGGCCTCAGTAAGGTGACAAGAGGCCTGAGCTGCACCATGATAAGTCCACATCTCTCTCAGCTCCTGTGGGAGACATCCAGACCTCTCTCTGTTATATTGTGCAACTAATTGTAAAAGAGAATAAACAGGTGAATTTTAAAGGGATAGTTAGACACATGAAGTGCACTTATTTGATTTTTGCTCTCATATCTGTTTGGTGAATATAATGCTGTAGCCTGAGGTCCAGTTAACTTAGCTTAGCACAAAGACTGGAAACAGGAGGAAACAGCTAGTCTGGCTATATCCAAAGGTAATAACATTGTCTTAGTAGCACCTCTAAAGCTCACTAATAAACACCATTTGTCTCTTTTGTTTAACCCGTTCAATAACCAAAGTGTACAGATTCCAGATTTTGTTACACATACAGAACATATCAGTGTGAATAACATTTTTAACACTGTCACACTGAACATTTATATTGAACTGTCTCACCATGCTTGGGTCTTAATGTTATTACCAAAGTGAGACATTTCTGGATTGTATTTAAAATATACATTATAAGCTCCTCATATGTTTCTGTCTTGATTTCATTTATAAAAAAAGAATCACTAAGTCACAGTACTTGGTATGTTCAAGGAAGAAACAGGTTGTGTTTGCTTGTTAGCCTGACTCACGGCACAAACAGCTGTAATTAAATTCATTTCACTCGCTGACTTGATCAGTAACAAAAGTGACATTTTAACTTCTTCCCTTTTTGTTTTTTGGTTTTCCCAGTCACCTAGTTTAATCTTTCTTGCCGTAAAACACGCTGTTATCTAAACTTCAATCAGTTTTTGATGTGTTTAACTTGTTTTTCTACCTTCCACAGAAGTCTCTGATGGAGTTTGAGATTTGTAAGGAAATATGTTTTAGGATGAAAGATAGAACAGAACTTACGTAGACTGTAAGCTATTGTCCGATGAATAGATGACTGAAGTCATGCCAGCACTAATGCCTGCCAACCTTTAGCAGTCATGTTTACATTAACAAGTGGAGTATTATTCTGACTCAAAAACAGGATACCATTCTCTTCTTAAAGCTTATTTAATATCACAAAGACAGCACAGTTTGCAAGGAAGTCGTGAGTAAACTCATAATTTCTTCAAGAAAAAGTTTTAGTTTGCATAATTGCTCCCTGCTTTTCCTCCCTTTGGCTATATTGACTCACTCAAAAAATATGTTATAATATATTATCTTCATGCCTCACTGATAAAAGGCATTTCGAGAACATCTTCTTTTCAAATGTATTTCCACTTTAACCTTTTTCTTGAAGAAACATTATCCTGGATCTAAACACTGTTTATTCATTTGCATTTACACAGGAAGGTTGTTTAAAGTGCTGTAGCGCAGTAGTTCCTCTCTTTACTCACATTATGATACTAAGCGCACTTCCTATGTATTTAAATGGATGTGTGCATGTGGATGTCTGGTTCTGGTCCTGCAAAATAATAAGCTTAGAGAGAAGCATAAGCCAGAATATGTAGAGGGGAAATATGCAAAGACAGCCTGCTGACATGGCAGTGTGTGTGTGTGTATGTTTAAGCGTGTGTGCAGTTCGACCTCTCTCATATCAGTCATGCAATCTTGCAAACTCTTCTCCAGTCCTTCAGCTGTCATCAATCAGCTCCGGATGGGTGAATTTTAATGTTGCACTGAAACAAAACATGTC